TTCGTGTGCTCAGCAACTGTTCTACGGCATCTTCCATTTTTACAATGGAAATTTGGAATTTTACGCCATTACAAAAGTCATTTTAGATCGAACGCATTGGAAATTTGGAATTTTACTGCACAGCATTAAAACAGCATCTGGAATGGTTCGACAGTGAATGTGATCGTTGGACAGCTGTGTTCATGCTGGAGACGACAGCCGCGGTGAGGACGATGAGTCATCAGCCTGTTCGCATGCTCGTAAATGATCGTAAATTTTCAGCTGAGAACAGTGTTTTTCTCTCACACCAAACCAGTCAGCAGTAAATAATCCACGATACGATACGACCTTCCGAACAGGCTGATGCATGTGGGCTTCTCCTCTGTTTATATTGCGGTGCCTCGACAGTGCAGCAGACGGAGGCTATCTCTAACGAGCCCGTTCAAAATATAAGACGATTCGTCATTCGATAACGTTATAGTCAAAAGTTCAATACCTTTCGGCAAGCGTTATAGGTAAAAAGTTCAATACCTAATCAACATCTTCTCCAACAACAAGATCTAAAAAAAATTCTTTCTACAAATTGGTTTTCAAAAGAAATGATGCTCATATTTAGGTTGTACCTCTCGGACAACCCAAAATAGATCTAAAAATATAAGTACTTTACTGGAGATTAAATTTAGATCTATCGCTGCCTATTTTGGATTTTGATATCCGTAGGACTTCCCTGTTGTCGGAGACCGTCTCACATGGTCGCACGAGATGCTGCTGGGTGCGTCTTTGCCTCTTTGGCATCTTGTCTTCTACGTACACGCAGTACTCGCTCTCTTTTGCTTTTACCGTTGCTCTCCGGGATCCGGCTGGCAGCCGCCATGTGAGTATGTATGTGACGCGTTTTCTTTTGCATGTACTCCGTACTCCATCCTCCATGATCTGTAAAAATAGCAGCTGTAGCGAGTTCAGAGAAACCGTGTCAATAGAGTCCAGATACACTGACCTGTGGGCTGTGGCTAACTGGAAATCTGGCATATCTGGAAATGTGAACGCTTCATGCTTTGCAGTCTTGGATCTATAGTTTCTCTCTCTCTTGAGTGGTACTCCCTCTATCCGTAAAAGAATGCAATTATAGGATTCGTACCGGCCAAATTTACTCAAGTTTGATCAAGTTTATAATAAATATTATTAGCATTTGTGTCACCAAGTAAATTTGTTATGAAAATATATTCTATAACTAATCGAATTGTACTTATTTTATATAAAAAATGTTAGTATTTTTTTTTGTAAAAAGCAAGAATTGCATTTTTTCGTGGACAGAGTGAGTACTACTTCCTGCATCGGAAAAGAATACAATTCGAGTTAAATCATGTTGATTTAATCAAAGTTTATAAAAAAAATCAATATGTATGATAACAAATAAGTTAATGTCACTATGTGATAGATGCTGGTCAAAAATTTATATCTTCAAATAGGTTTATTATAACAATACACTCACGATTCATCTAATGAAAATGTGCGTTGTAAATATTAATATTTTCTTATACATATTTGATCAAAATTAAAAATATTTAACTTTTTAAAAAGTAAAAATGACACTTATTTTGAGACGTATGGAGTAGGTATACTGTTACAAATATTAATGTTTTTATAAACTTCGTTAAACTTCAAAAAATAATAATTAGAATTTTTTTTTGAATGGTATTGTTTTCCCGACGGTGATAGTAATAACATTGTGACCAAGTACGGCCCGGGACACGCCACTGCTGAATGTTTTGCTTTCAGCTTTCTCTCTCGAGCCTTCAGTTCTTTTCTTCCTTTTGCTTTCTTTTGGAAAGCCGAGCTCGACGGATCTCAAGAAAACAAATGGCGATCACATGGGCCGAGTAAAGCCTAGTAGTGGTTCGTTAGGCCCAACAATATGAAGAATGAAAAGGCCTTAAATAGAAACCGTACGGTGTCAGAATTTGACTGGGCCTCGTTTCACTGTAGGCCCATAAGCATTTCATGATTATGTTCCTTTTCCTTCCCTTCGACTTTCTCCTCTCAAAATAATAACACACTGAATTTTCAAGGATGTCCCCACTACCACTACCAGATCACAGGTACAGTAAGAAAGATTCCAAATAATGAAACACTAAACTGAAGTTGGCCCCCGTCGTACACACGCAATCGATCGATAATCCAGTGGACGTCTTCACCCAATGACATGCATGAACCACAGTGTGAACTTTGGAATTTTGCCAGGCCCATGGACCCCCATCCTAGCAATTTGCTCTGGAGTGCTGGTAACCTGCTCAAGCAAGCAAAAGCTTCTCTTTTTGTCAGGTTGATGGAAGTGAGAAAACCTTAGTTTTCAAGGCATCGGCACTTCAGATGAGGACGAAAACTTCGGTATACTCCTTTCACGTGTGATCCAGCTAAGCACTACTAGTCAGTGGCGGAGCCAGGATTTCAAAGCTGGGTATTCCCATTTGCTAAGAAAAAAGTTCCATTCTAAAACTATATATAAAATAGTTCACGACGACACTTGATGACTAAAGGCATAAATTGATCAAATCTAAGATACCCATAGAATAAAGGGAAATTACAACATAGGAATATTAATGAGAAACGGTTTAAGTGTAGAAGACGGTTCCTCTCTGATGATGTTGAGAAGAAATATTAGGATAATACCTAGCAAGCTTAACCAATCGTCTTTATCAATTTCTTCGTTCTGCATACTCTAGGATCTACAAGAAGGATGTACGCACTATATTAATTGAAAAGTTGTAATAATCATACTACAAATAATCCTAAATTAAGGCAATAGGATTTACGAAAGATGTGCTCACCACGTCACGGCGTCATCCATGCTAACAGCTAGTAACAAATAATCCTAAATTAAGGCAATAGGCACCTCGTTGTTGTTCTCGGCCGATGGCCCTTGGCTTCACGCAGCTGTGCATGGCGTCGCGGCCCGCCCTGGGGCCTGCCCAGCTGGCCAACAGCCCCAGCGCAATACAGGGGCGCTCGGCACCAGTGTGGGGGGAGCGTCAGCCGCCCTAGCGTAGCCACTAGCTGCTGCCCGCAGTCACGAGCAGCAACCATCGCGGGGAATCGAAGCAGGGATTGGGCAGGAATCGGCTCTAGTTCCTGCTTTCTTGGGCCATCAGGTAGGGGCTTTGAGATGGGCTGTGAGAGTGGATGCCTCCACATCGGATGGGAGTGGCGTTTTGACTTGAGAAATAGAGAATAAAGCCCACTATAACATATGCATATATGTTTAATTGATGTATAAGTATTTTTTTGGTATAAAAGTTGGGTATTCTTGGGAATACCCAGGCATCAACGTGGCTCCGCCCATGCTACTAGTGAAGACTGAAGTAGAAACATTTGACATTTTCGTGTATTATTAGATCTGTAGATCATCACTAACTGAACCTTGCAAGAAAAGGAGAAAACTTCGTTCTCTTGAGAGTTCGAGGGGGCGAAGGTTTTCAGTCCGCATGAGCTACTTATCCACGTGGCAAACCCATCAGCTCCTGCGCATACTGCATTGATACGTACGTCGTTCCTGCTACGTTTGGAACACTTGTGTAGTAAGTAGCATTCTTTATTCTTATAAGACAGATTTATTACAAAACTAATCGTCCAAACATGGCCCATATTCGTCCCATCACCATTAGATTCCACAAACACCTGGCCGAAACGGGCAACAAAACAATCGAGTGCATTCTCTGCTCGGTTGCTCCGAGTGTCAGTCAGGTAACACGTGTACGGTTCAGCTATTTTTCCGGGTCGGCTCAAATGGTCTGTGCCTGAAATGAAGTTTCAACCACGTACTGCAGAATTGCTGATTGATCTGCAAGGCATTTTCAATTTTTCATCAGAGAGACAGAGAGTGTATAGTTGAGGCAGTACAGTTTGCTTGCATGGCGCGAGACCGTGTGTTGCATGAAAATGAACACCTACGTCTCTGAAATTCCACGTGCTAGGAGGACACGGGACTACACTGCCGTCGTCCTTGGGTCCTTCGGACATGCAGACAGACAGACAGACACGCGCGCGTGCGCGCGCACACAGAGACCGCGCACACAGAGACCGATCAATCTCCAATCGCAAGCAGTATTGTTTCACAGTCAATGGAATCTCTAGCGGTATCGCCCCTAGCACAGGCTCACTGACGCTGTCCGCGCCCTATTCGTTTGGGTTTGTTAGGTTTACACGCCATATTTTTTTAGTCAACGGACAATATTTTCCTCTCATAATAAATCAGTCAACGATACTTTCAATTATGGTTTATCAGTCAAACAAGCCTAAACGAACAGGGCGCGTATACGCTGGCACCTCGATCGACTGCGCATTTTGTTCGCGGAACATTTTATCCACTGACGTACGTGTGCTACAGTAGACTGAAACATTCACAGTCTAGCTACCTGATGAGAGGCAGAGGCAGAACAAGGAAACGATCGACTGCCGCAGTGAAGTTAACGCATTTCCGAATGAAGTAGTATTGTACGTACCAGCTACTGATACGTACAGTAGACACATCATAGATCACCAGCGGAGACATCATTCTGGCCTCGTTCGCGGATAGAATTTTGGCCGAAACTAGCTGAAAATACTGTTCTGGTTAAATTGTTGTGAAAAAAAAATACTGGTTGAAAAAAGAAAACGAACAAGCCGAATATGGGTAATCCGAACGGTGCTCTGTCTGGCGCCAGACCGGCCTGTTAATGCCAACGGTGTAATAAGCAGTGGTAGGGTTCAGGCAAATTTGTACTTATCTGTGAATAATCTACAATTGTTCTCATTCCCAAAAAGCAGGTGCTTAGATTACAGCCTAGATTTTCTTAGCATATTCTTGTGACCATGGCATGGATTGGATTGGACTGGACAGTAATGCTGCATGGCTCAGGTGCCTAGGGTGTGTGCAATCACAGTCACATGTACAGGCAACGGATTCCATTGGCAGGAGCCAGGAGGGCAGTGCAGTGCAGTGCCGGGCATGCAGTAGTGCAGATATATGCATGCAGTGCAGAGTTTCACATGACGGCGGTCTCCTCCTGCTGTTGCTGTATGCTGCTGAGAATCTCATGCACAGCGGTGGCTATATCTTCAACAGAGCCCATCTTGGAGTCATCCTCTACCTGCCGTCCAAACGCGAAAACGATCATTATACTGTAATTGACACCGCCGGTTTGTCTCTACCGGCTTAAACTAACTTGCAGTAGTTCCGGCCGGAGAGCTAAAAGTTTGTGTTTATTTATGCTTGCCCCTTCCCCCTTTGGAGTCTTTGACGCATTGTTGTATTTACCCAGTATGGATTTTTTTAATAAGTATATAATCGGCAGTTCTTCGGATTTCTTTCAAAAAAAAATATTTATGGTTATTACCTTGAGGCTGAAGGTGTAGAGGACCATGGCGTCGACGGTGGTCACGTTGAGGTGCAGCGGCGGGATGCGCAGCTGGTGCAGCCCCGCGACGAGCTTCAGGAGCTGCCTGGGCCGCCGGCGCGCGAGCACCTTGAGGCTGGCGTGGCCTTCCACCATGGTCACCTCGATGTCCGCGACCGCAGCCGCGGGCCGCCGGCCGGTCTCCGCGGATCCTGCAGATGCGGCCGCGGCGTCGCTGCAGTTCCCTCCGTTGCTCGTGTTGCCTGAGCAGCCGCCGTGGCCCGAGGTGGTGGTGGAGTACTGTGGGAAGCTGAAGAAGCCGGCGAACGGGGAGCTGCCGGTGTCCGTGCTGCCTGATGACCCCCGGCTCTTGATGCTCTTTTGGACCTCCAGCGATTGGAGCAGTTGCTCCAGCTCCCTCACGTAGTTGATTGCGCCACCGACGATGGATGCTTGGTCACCCTGTCCAGTGTAAAAGAAAGATCAAACACAGCTGTTATCACATTGCCAAACATAGCAACGAACTAGGAATACGTACTTATACTACTCCAAAAAGACAGAGGTTTATTTACTGCACGTAGGTACGTACCCTGTGCGCGTAGGACGGCGGCATGAGGGAGCGGAGCACGGCGAGGTACTCGTTCATCTGGCGGCGGCGGTTGCGCTCGACGGCAATGTGGGTCATCCGCTGGCTCTCGATCTCCTCCTTGTTCTTGACGACCTTGGTGCGCCTCCGCTTCCTCCTCCCCGGGGCCGCCGCCGCAGCTGCCCGCTCGGGCGCCGCTGCCTTCCTGCTGCCGTGGTCCGTGGAGGCATCGGAGGACTGGTCCCGGGAGAGCGCCTCCCAGTCCCAGTCGTCCCCCACGGCGGCCACGGTGGGCGCGACCCAGGTGTCGAGGTCGTGGTCCCACTCCCCCGCGGCGGCGCAGAGATCGCCAAACCCTGCTCCCCCTCCCCCTCCTCCTCCTCCTCCCCCTCCCTGCAGCTGCAGGTCGCACGACCACGGCAGTGCGTACGGCGAGTCTCCGCGGCCGTAGCCGAAGTGGCCTGCCGCCAGCTGGGGCTGGGAGAACACCACGGCGTCCAGCGCCATTGCGGGCTGGTGTGCGTGTGTGACGGATGGATGGATGGACGCGGGCGAACGGCTCACCGTCACCGGCGTGTGGTGTGAGGGGGGAGGTGTGTGCCCGGGCGCTCGCTTTATAAGGCGGGTGGGATCGGGGTGAGGTGAGCGAGGCGGACACGTACGCGGCACCGCGCGGGCCCGGGCCAGGCCCACGTCTTGCGCCGAGCTTTTGTGCGTAGGGGGATGGACGGGGCAATGATTTTCCATTCCGTAGCAGTGCAATGCAATGCGCCAATGGACGACGGGGCTGGTGGGCTGTGTTGCGTGGAGCCGGCGGGCGATTTGGCGCGCGGTCGGGTGGTCAAATTAAGCGGGTGCGCGTGTCGAGAGATTCTGCGAGCACGGTGGCCGGAGCAGCGTGGCAATACCACCATGTCCATGGGATTGAGAGGCCGGAGTGGGTGGGGGACGCGGGACGCCAGACTCGCAGTCGCAGCGCAGGCGATCGTCGTCTGTCTCTGTGTCTCGAGTCTGGACCTTCACTGCTTCGAGGCCGGGCGACCGGGGTGGCGGGGTGCTGGCGCACTGCAGAGGGAAGAGCGCGAATACCACAAGGTTTAGTATTCGTGCTCTTCCCTGCCGTTGTTTCGACGTCTCTTTCCTGCCGTTGTTTCTGCAAAGGCTCGACTATGATCGCGGGTAGTACTAGTATTTTCCAGTGGAACCATCTTCTACGAGTACGTGACTTTCGGCCGTGAGGATTTAGGTAACTTACTGCGTGAATCGAGCTCTCTTGCTCTCTTCTCCGGAGAACGGAGACAACGGTCTCGAGACTCTCAACTCTCAATTTATGTTTTTTTTTTGAAAGAACAGGAGGGGTAAGGAGCCCCTACTGAAAATTTTTATTAAAAAGCCCTGAGGTACAGGATTACAGGACAGGGATAACAGGGAAAAAAACTAACAGAAAACTAAGGAACTATAAAGGGGAAGAAAAAGTTTCTCAATTTATGTCGTGCGCCATGGTGGCCCGATTGATCCAAGACCGATAACTCTGGTGATACCGCGGGTTACATGATACCATGTTACCAATGCACCTAATACGTACAACTTACCTTGTCTGTTCTAATATATCTTAGAATTGAACTCTATATTGTGACTAGATACACGCAGTTATAACTCCTATAAACACGGGGCATGAGTTGGGTTATAGACTGCAGAGTAAACCAATTATGTATACTGAACAATATTATCTCTAATTCATCGTAAACTACTACTGAACAATATTAATTGTTATATATACTTGAGTGAGTAGAGGACAAACGGATTCAAAAGAGAGTGAAAGGCGAAAATTTGGTAAGAGAAATTATCTCACTTTAATGTTAGATAGCAGGTATATAGATATGTGGATGGACAGAGCATGTAAGCATCATCCATCTTGTAAGTTCGAAGTTGCAAAACAAAACTATGGAGAGAAAAAAAAGACAAAATGATAAATCAGCATACGAACATTTGAGGGCTATGGATAACAGTTGCATCCGTAATAACTATTGTCATGGTAATTTCTTTTTTTTTTATTTATGTTCTCGTCGCATATTTTTTTAAGTTATAAAAGCTGTAAACCTAGCTAGCTAGATGACCACATGTTCTACCCATTACTAATTTGTTTGATTCTTAAAAACAATTTAAAGGTCATTTTTTTCTTGATAGACGAGGTCATTTTTTTTAGTACTAGCACGGGAGTACCTAAGGAGTAAGGACACACATCTCCCAAGTTCAAGAAGAGGGTACGGAGATTCAGCTTGGTACCATATTGTACAGTGAAGAGCCGAAGAACGACGTTTTCACGCACAGCTCACCCTCAACTTGCTCCCCGTAATGAACGGAGAGCAGAAATAGCCGTGTCAGTAACAGAAAAAGGAAAGCGAAAGGTGCATGCATAAAGTTCTCTGACTGACCGAATCTGGCTGTCACTTTTGATCTCTTCTTTTCTCTCTGTCTAGTCCAGATGAGTAAAAAAATTGCTCTTTGATGCTTTTCTCTCTCGTTTCAGATCTTCAGGAGAGTTGATGTTTCATGAACCTAATTACCTAGTTACGGTATAAGTATATACTCCGTACTACTTTGCATTGGGCTGCACTCGTAAACACAAATGTACTTTTAGATGTCTGAACTGCGCTTTTTGAAGAAAGTGTCATGCATGCACGAACAGAAAAAAACAAGTTTGAGACCGAACATCTCGTTTTTCTGCACATAAAATACTAGAACGACGTGTACTTGTTTCTGTTGTTTCTGAATGATATATAGTAGAAAGACGGGGCACAACAGCCATTTGGAGTGCTCCCAAGAAAATTGCTTGCTGACAAGTTGCCTCAATCATTAAAACTTAGTCTGTCTAATACTCTATGAAAGACAACTACTTGACACTGTTCCTGACGTATGGTCTGGGGAATACGAACAAATGTTCCCTGCAATCTGTTAATTGTTGATGTGCACACGTTAGATCCAGTCCAAGGGAGAACTGAAACCGCTCACCGGGAATATTTCCCACATGCCATTGAAACCGTGGGCAGAACACCGGATTGTCGCAACGCATTTGTTCTGTTCTTCAGGCCCCGATCGAGAAAATAGTTTTACACCTAGCTAGTATTTTCTTCTTTCTTAATCCCTTTCCGGCTGCCATTGCACGCGAGGATTCTAATAAGTAATTACCCTACTACTGCTAGTTTGTTCCCCAAACAATTCTTCTGTTTTCGTCCATTTGTATGTGGTGAGGCGAAAACAAAGTGATAAGAAAAATACTGTGACAGTTCAGATTGTGATGTGCTACTGTTTTACATGGTGGTCCTCTGGAGGTGGTAATGGCCATGTTTGGATGCTCGCTCGTCCATGGAGAATCTCTACAGACGGAGACTGAAATGCTTTGTATTACTAAAACTGTACGGACATCAATAACTAATCTACCACTTCTGAATTCTAGCTTCATTAGTATTACTTTTTTCCTGAAATGGCAATGCTTTTGTCTGGACAGACTGTCAGTTTGGCAATACATGTTAGCAGTGTATTGATGTGTCGCTTTTCATGCTCTGATCGAGGTCAAACTAATTTCTTTTCTTGGGGCAATGGGTTATACAATCCATTATTATTGACAGAATCATCATTCATATCTTTCGAGTGAAAAAAGAATCCTCCCATCTCGATCTGTTGTATAACTGGCTTGTTTGGGGTCACATGCCTGTATGTATATTTCATAGTAGTCAGATTAACTGAATTTCAGTTAGAACTAAGCATATGCAAACGCGAAACAATGTCGCAAACGAATATACAGTACGTAGTGTTGGTGTTTTCGGACCACCAATGAGTAAATTTGTATTTACGCATTTAGCTCGGATGGTGTGCTTAGAGGACACAAGGGTTTATACTGGTTCGGGCGGAACGTTCCTACAGTACGTAGTGTCGGAACGGTCCTTCTTCCTCTTCATGCGGGTCCCGCGAACCCTGTAGACGTCAACAGGGACAGCTCTACGTCGTGGCCCTGTTTGTCACTGACGCCATGCGCAGGCGTCGTCTACCGGTCATAGCGTTTCATTCCGTCCCGACGGACGTCATGGTGAACTGACGCGCCTGTCAGCGTTCGTACGAGAGTTAGGCAGAACAGCACCGGCACGCCCGACACTGTTCTTGATGTGAATCCACAGGTATGGCCCATCATGGCCACGGGTTACATCGATGCGTGCTAGTCTCTTCCCTAGTGTCAGAGTTTTGACCCAGGCCCATACGCTTGGACCTAGAGTGGTTGGCGGCGGTATGGGTCCCCGTCGGACGAGATGGAAACCGCACCCTTGGGGTTGGGCGAGACGGAGCCCGCACCCAAGGGGTCGGACGAGGCGGAGCCCGCGGCCTTGGGTGAGACCCCCACGGCCTTGGGGTCGGGTGAGACGGAAACCGCGTCCTTGCAGTTAGACGAGACGGAGCCCGCACCCGAGGGGTCGGGCGAGACTGAGCCCGCGGCCTTGGGTGAGACCCCCGCGACCTTGGGGTCGGGTGAGACGGAGCCCGCACCCAAGGGGTCAGGCGAGGCGGAAACCGCGTCCTTGGGGTCGGGCGAGACGGAGCCCACACCCATAGGGTCAGGCGAGGCGGAGCCCACGACCTTGGGTGAGACCCCCGCGGACTTGGGGTCGGACGAGACCTTTTAATACATCTTGCTTTATCCGGAAAAGTCAGCGTGGGCGCTAACCTCCTTGCTTTGGGTATCCCTAATATTAATACCCGACAGTAGCCCCCGAGCCTGCAGAGGAGTAGAATAGTCCTTTGGAGGCTTTTCTGGATGGGAGGACTCTGAGGGCCTTGGCCTTCTTTTTGTAGCCCGCGTCGTGTCCTGGTAGGGCGGCGGTTCCCTTTTGTCATGATCGGTCTTCTCGAGGGCATGTAACCGTAGGATTCAGGAACTCGAAAAGATTTTTCTTGATTTCGGTCCCTAGGATCCGATCGGTTCGCCGTCGTACTACGACCGCGCGTTCGGTCTCCTTGCGAGTCCAACTTTACTCAAGCCCCCATGCATAGCAAGGGTCCGGTCGAGGGTCAGCTTGTCTTCGTGATCGTCGCCCCTCAAGTGTTTTCTTTGATAAAACGGAGGGGCTGAGCCATGTCATGTTTTTCCTTGATGGACGAAACATGATGCTCGGTGAGCTATTAACGGGCTAGTCCGAGTGGGGCCCTGGTTTCTCATTCGTGGGGGTCTAGCATGGGTCAGCTGGTGGCCGACTCTAGACTCTTGGCGGTCAATCCATATAGGTCTCGGGTCCGTTCGACTGGTCCCGATGGCTCGTTGCCTTTCTTTGAGGAAAAACCATGAACTAGGAACTGACAAGACTCGAACGTGGGTCGGGATGCCCACGGCGCTCGTGCGCCCAGGTACTGGCCGCTAGTGGGCCCATCCCTTTCCACCCCTCACTCTAAGGGCGCCCTGGAGCGGCTGTGAGCCTATCGGAGGGCCAGCCTTCGAACTCCTAGGCCTAAATGGGCCA